TAAGCCGCTATAGATAGACAAATCGCTCTCGGAGTCTCCTCCGCGTGCTGCTGCGCGAAAATTGCCGACAGCGTGGGAAAGAGAGAGAGAGAGAGAGAGAGAGAGAGAGGGAGAGAGAGAGAGAGAGAGAAAGTGATGAGGCGTAAAATGGAATTTGCCGAACGTCACAACGAGCTGCCATCGCTCGAAGCGCTTCCGCGTCGACACGTCGCGGCAAATAACATTTACATATACTACAAATATCAAAGTGCGCAAAATGACTTGTCGTTGTCTCGTTCCCGTTGTGTTGGGAGCGCAATGTATCGGAGCTCGCAGCAGCAGCGACGGCGACGGCGACGGCGACGACGACGACGACGACGACGACGACGACGACGACGACGACGACGACGACGACGACGACGACGACGACGACGACGACAACGACGACAACGACGACGACGACGACGACGACGATGACGACGGAGGACGTTTGCGTTTTATGTGTCGGCGACCGGCAATGCGCGTTTCCCGTTAGCGATGTAGGTGCGTACGCATGTACGTGCGTTGCCCGTACGCCGCGGAATATTACTTTCTGCTTTTACGATCGCGCCTCGGTCGTTTTTAGACACTGAGAGATACGCGTCGACGAGAGATCCTCGATAGAGGAAAAAAGGGACGAACGCGCCCGCCTCTGTTGTAGAAAGCTAATGAAATACGCGGAGGAAAGTACAGGTCGCGGTTGGGCTATAATTGTCGCGGCGATTCTTGCGCGACCTTACAAAGAAAAATGAAAAAGCCGTCGCTGGCTGCGCCAGCTCCTCTCTCGAGTAATTGTTTTCGCGAGAGCACGAGGCGCCTCCCATCCTCTTTTGCCCGGAATCGCGGCCCCGCGCCTCGTTGTCGTACGTGTACTTCTCCTACATCTCGTGTACAAGGAGGTAAAACGTCGCCGGGGCGTCGTACGACGTTCGACGTAATCGTCTTTCGCAACGTGAAGCCGATGCCGCGTGACGAGACGCGAACTGCAACAATCATCGAGCGCGCACGCTCGAGAAAAGAAAGAAAAAGAGGAAGAGAGAGAGAGAGAGAGAGAGAGAGAGAGAGAGAGAGAGAGAGAGAGAGAGAGAGAGATAACTCATTCCCGAGGGAGTAATTACGGGCCGAACTAGCGGAGATTCGTCGGAGGGCCAATCCTCGGCTACTCGGGAGACGACGACGCGCCGCGTTCGGAGCGATTCGAGCGAGCCAATGGCGTCGTTGCCAGCTGCCATTATCCGGGAAATTCCGTCGTTAAAAGTGCAAGGACTGTAACGCGACGAAAGTGACTCCGCGGTCGTCTCTTATTTGCGTTTCCATTATTCGCGAAATCGATCCCCGCCGAGCGGAGGCTCGGCTCGCCGGTCTTGCCGAGGCGAGCGTAGCGCGTCGCCATTCGAGACACCTATTTCGCTGGAATACGCGACGCGAAAACGACGACGATGAAGACGATTACTTTGTACATCGACATCGCATCGCAGCGGCGATTATTGAGGCGCGCGCGCTCGCACGCGCACCGAGAACGGCTCTTATTTATTTACATAAATCAGCCTGCCGTGCGCGTAATTAGTCGCACTTTCGAGCCGTCTCGACTTTTCAACCGTGTCACTCCTACTGACTTCTCCTCTCCTTGTCACTCTTGTTAGCCTCTTAGCAACGAGTCGCTCATTCCCGAATCCGGTATTGACCCGCGAGTCGCGTAGTTGTGTACAACAGTGACTCGTCTATAACTTCCCGACTGTATCGGTACCTCGAGTATTCATGCTCCCGAGATATTTGCAAAATGTACGCCGTTGGCGTGGAAAGCGCGAAAGGGGAACGAGCGACGGTACTTTTGACGAAATTCGACGCTTCACGGCGAATTTCCTCGGTCTCGCGTTGAACGACGCCGGAGAAGCGGGTCTTACGCCCATGGCTGCGTTCCCCATTACCACGGCTCCCGCATGCCACGTCGAAGACCAAGCTGCCGACGAGGTTGACGAAAATCCTACAGAATGCTATTTCGCGTTCTGGAAAACGTCATGGAGCGGAATTGGGAAATTTTCGAGACGAGTCTCGAACGAGGCGTCTCGTTCTTCATGCGCGGGTCGACTCGGTATCCTGCAGGTTTGAAAATGATGAAAAGAGAGAAAAGGGAGAAAGAGAGAGGGAGGCCAAGTCCTAATCGTCGGCTCGCTCGAAGCTTCTCTCCTCGACCCGATGTACTTCTCTAATGCGCCTGTCCTCGGTGGACTAAGATCGGATGGAGAGTGGAAGCCTATGCGAGGATGCGACGCGAGCTCCCCCGCGTCGCCAGTGTCCTCTCGCGAACGAGAGAGATAGACACGCTTGGAATTCTTACTCGTTGTTCTCATGAAAAGCCCGCAGTGTTCGTAGTTATCGTTTAGTATCTCGTTTATCGTTATCAACTTGCACGTATCGATAAAATAACAAGCTGACGAGTATCTGTTATCGGTCACAATTTTACGACTAACGATAAAGAAATTTCCTCAAACCCGAACACCCGCGTTCGACCGTTTTTTCCAATCGGGTCGTCAATCTTCAAGAATATCTCGTCGATGCCTCAGGCTAATCTCACTCGCTGAGAATTGGAAATTTTCTACGAATTCGGATGTCGAACGTCAACATATCGCGAAAAGAAACTTTCAATGTCGTGAATCTGTAGCGAGGCGGCTTTCAAGCTCGAATTTCCGCGAATTACTCGAGTCGTATACACGTGTCGCAACGATTCTCGAAACATCATCGAGGCTCGATGAGTCGTCTGATATGACGAGATACTACGTACTTGGAATGGTATTCAGAATCGATAACGATAATTTTATTGCTACGGAAAAGAGAGAATTTAACGTACCTACAGAATTATCGATAATTCGTGAGTGGAATTCCAACGACCTGACGGCACGAACATGGCAGACTCGAGATTTCAAATTCGAGTAGCCATTTTGTAACGGTCGTGCGATGCTTCGCCCGACGTTCTTCATCGGCCGTTCCATGAGACAATTTCGGTGGACTTTAGGCGCGGTGAAACTAGCGCGCGAAACTCTTTTTCGACATTCCCGATGTTGATACACATTTTGAAAACGGCAAAACGTAGCGACACTCCACAGATGATGTCACATCCTAATGGTCAGTCACGATACAACATACGTGCAATATCTTATCCGGCACTTCTGAGCAACCATTTCACAAGCTCACTTTTATTTATGCGATGTTTCGTCGTAATAAACCCGTGAGACTCACTTCCGACACTCCCGAATCATGACTGACTCGCGACCGACACTTCTTCGCTAAGACGAATCCTCGCGACCGTTAAACTTTGAGCCGCCATAATGCAATGAAGATCCAACTTTCGCACGACACTCCCGACACACTCGTTTCGTATATTTTTGGCAACTATTCGTCAATATTTCATCATGATAAACGCGCGAGCTCATTTTCGACACTGCCGTGTATGCGATATGTCTGCGAGACTCGCCTTCGGCGAGCCAAAATTGTGAGAAATGCAGGACGGCTTTTCGAACGTGACTCGCGCCGCAATTCGTCCAGCTGACTGAATATCGCAGCGATTGGATTTCTCGAAGGCGTATCGATATTCTTGAACAAGCGCGCGTCGTATGAACTCCCATATCAGAGAAAGGTAGTACATAGAAAAGCATTAACAGAAGTGCCGAAGTGAAATAAGAATGAATAAAAATCAACACTTGATGTTAATATTATATGTATTTCTCTTTCTCTTACAAATATATGATTTTATTTATATGTATATCTGTCCCAATTTTACTAATTGCTTACAATATCACATTTTGTCACAAATAGTCGATTCAGATATACATTAATGTACAGTTTTTATTGCTGAATAAAAATTTGTTTCTATTAAGTATTTCTTCCGTATAGCTTAGGATACATTCACTGTTTTATTAAATTTAATTGGATTACTAGAATCTGATAAACCAAACATTCGACTTAAGACGTTCATAGCAGCTACATCTTTAGCTTCTTGAATTGTCTGACCAAATCCTAGAAGAAATATAAAGAAAAATATATTGCGTTAAATACATTAAAATTATAAATATGACAATACAATATGTATTAAATTGTTATAAGGTTTTTTGTTTTACTCTCTATAAGATATCATATTATTATACACTAAAGGGTTACAACATACCTGAACCTAGAAATTCTTTGTTGGAATATAATCCTATGTGATACGATGCTAAAAGTGTATTTTGTCCCGCATGTCCAATGAGTCTTGGTTCGGCAGGAGATCTATCTTGTTTGTGTAGAACGTTATCTAAAATTTCGCATGGCTGAGACGGATTCCATATCTCCATTAAATCTTTCTCGGCTAATAATACAATTAAAAAGTCTCTAATAAACTTTCCTGCGTGATTTACATCCACACTTTCAGCGAGTGCTGCAGTAAGAGCAAAAAATGTGTCAGCCAAAGTTTTCTGTGCTACAGGATGTTCCTAAACAAATATTTATTAAGAAATATCAAGTTAAGGAAAACGCTTATATGTGACTATCTCAGTTACAGATTATTTATAAACAACATGTTGAAGTCAATTTTCAGCATTGTGTGAAAATGTAAATTCATAATTATTATTTGATATACTCACCTCAGTTAAAATGATATCTTTGGCTCCAATGTGCAAAGATGCACTAGCCAAAATTTCCTCAGAGAGAAGATAATCATGTAACGAACTGAAAAATACATGTTCTTAAATATGATTTGTATTATAAAATATGAAACTTGTTATTATATCCTGATATAATTTATAAAGAATATACTATTAATACGGATCATTAATAATATTAAATATATAAGTAAAAAATATACAAAAATATAATAGAAAAAATCTATATGTAACAAAATATTGGAGATTCATCAAATTCATATATTACAATAAATATTTTATATGTATATCAATAGAAGACATATCTCTGTGTTGTTTTGATAAAACTTATTTAGATATTATTAAATGTTAAAATAAATTTTCAGCAAAATCTAATATGAAAAACATATACATACATTATAACATCTTCAGGTGCAAGTGATAAAGCTTCAGTTAAATAACTTTGTACAATCTCTGATACAAGCTTCTCGCCCTTTATAATAAAAGTAGTGTTGTCTTTTATATTTAATTTAGGATCTTCTATTCCAATTTCTTTTTGCTTTTGCTCTTCTTTAAAAATATACACTTTGTGGGTAAAAGCTTGCTCCAACTTTTCAATATCAAAATTTTCAGACAGTCTTTTGTTAAATGCATATATCTCTGCAGATCTATTCCATTCCAGGAAAGTATTACGCTTTGGAATCGGTTTATAGCCTAATCGCTCAATCTCCTTCCTCTTACGTTTAGTTAATGCTATCATTGTTGGTGCTACCCATCTTTTAATATGTCTCTGTCCTGCATATAAAATTTTAAGGTATAATTATACAGAGAAAGTCACATGTAAGTACATGTAAATATATGTAATACGATAGAATTATATGTACACAATTATAAAGAAACATGAGCAACTCTACCTTCGAAATTCATCGCACATCGCAATCCATTTCTTACAATAAAATTGTTAACACACATACGTAAGATGTTCATATTTGTAGGATAATTTTTAACCGTTAAAATCTCTCCAGAAAACGAATCGTTGACGTACGAGGCAATAAATAGCAAGACTTCGTAGGACAATCTCGCGAGACCGACAGGACAGTTTATAAATATAGGTTATAGCGCAGAAACAGCTATCAGCTGTTTAGCTGCATTAAAACCAGTTAAAACTACGATGATAATGAAGAAAATAATTGGCTTTTAAAAAATTGATTATATAAAAGATCTACCAATTTTTCTAGCCGATAAAATTTTTAAATCATTGATAATAATCGATTAATATAAACTTTTTTAGTAGTGAACTTTATCTACTAGTGGTAAATGTCTTTTAAAAATTTTATATACAGGACCACCGACTTCTTTTTCTCCCTTTTTTCTTAGCCTCAGAATTGAAAAATAAATTTTAAAAGGCACAAAAACTAGACAAAGATACAAATTTTCATGTTATTTTGGATGTAGTTAAAATAGTCGGTATTGTCATCACTTTTATTTTATCTCCAGAATTATCTCTGGGCCCCTCGGAGACCCTTGCCAGTGCAAAATTCTACTCAAAGCTAAAGGTCATTCTACAATGAGGTTGTAGTAGAATGCAGTAGGCAAATTGACCAATCACGATCGACTGTTCTCTTTACAATCGAAGAATAATCGGCTGTGATTGGTCAATTTGCCTACTGCATACTACTACAACCTCATTGTAGAATGACCTTAAGTCATATGGTCTGTTCTTTTTAGCTGCACTGCGGAACTAGTGCAATAAATTAGAGCTCCGAATTAAAGGTCTGCAGGAGCCACACTCTCGTGGAGACCCGCGAACTAGGCAAAATTATATTGCAAATTATGAACAAAATACGAAGAGAATCACCTTATATGTATGATATTTGCAATCAGGAGAAACGTCCGCAGGGTCGTACAGAGTGCTTTTTTGGAAAAAAAGTCGAAATAAAAATCGATTAAATAATTTGAATGAACGTTCATCCCGCGGTGCAGCACGAACCTATATTTTCATTTATTACAAATTTTCAAGAACCTAAATGCAAAATCGGGCTCTGTACGACCCTAAATATTAATATAAGGAAGATGTCCATGTATGTCTGATAAGCAAATATGATGTATGCGTGGCAAAATTTGTAAGTGTAGATAACACGGAAAGTTGCACTATAGTGCAGTCTACATGACCTAACCTTCCTGCCTTGCGTTCGCGCGAGCAATGCATTAGGATTAGCGTATATATGAGCAGTGCATAAGTATTGCCGTGTGTATGTGTATGAATACCTTTCAGCTTCCACTGTAAAACATAAGATATTTTGCCACGTTGACGATATATGTAACCACCAAATTAATATGAAATATTCCTTGAACTATTAACGAGGTCCCTACAGAGCCAGATTTTGCAATCTAGCCATCCATAATTTATGAAAAATAAATGAAACGTCCGCCATACCAATCATCGCTGCGAGTCACTCGAAATATCATTTTACGAGACGCAATATTTCGTCTTTTTGACGATACATATTATTATCAAATTATTGCAGCATCTTCTTCGTACTATTTCCGAGATCGGTACAAAGCCGGATTTTGCAATCCGGTCGTCAAAAATTTATAATATATAAATAAAGCCATCCGTTGTACCAGGCGTTGGAGCGAATCAGTCGAGAAATTATTGTAGGAGATGCAAAATTTCACCTCGTTGACGATATATTTAACCGCCAAATTGTTATAGCATCTTCTTTGAACTAACCCCGAGAAACCTACAGAGCCAGATTTTGCAGTCAGGCCGTGAAAAATGTATCATAAATAAATAAAAATGTATAATATTACGTACAATAGTACATTTTACAAGAAGAGATCCGCCTCGTTGGCGATATATGTAACCGCCAAATTTATATGGAATATTCTTTGAACTATTATCGAAGTCCCTACAGAGCCAGATTTTGCAATCCAGCCGTCAAAAATTTATAATATTTTAATAAAGCAAGCGTCGTACGAAACATCGCAGCGAGTCCCGCGAAATACCATGTTACAAGAAAAGATTTTGCCTCGTTGCACTCATATATTACCACCAAATTGTTACAACATATTTCTCGATCTATTTCCGAGATCTTTACAAAAGCCAAATTTCGCAATCAGGCCGTCTAACGTTTATCGTATATAAAAGACTGTACCGGGCATTGCAGCATGTCACGTACAATACAATTTTGGAACATGAGAAATATTGCCTCGTTAACGTAATATATCACCATCAAATTGTTCGGCCATATTCCTTGTATTATATTTAACGTCGCTATAAAGCAGGATTTTGATTATTAACATATATATATATATATATATATATATTATAAGCGACTGTACGGGACAACAACAGGTAACTGTTAACTGTTAACTCCTACAAGTAACTGTAGGAACCATTAAAATTGTTGTAATAGAAGTTTATTAATGAATGTTGTATTAGAAGTTTATTAATGAATTTATTTTTATTTTTTATATTTCAGGACCGATTTTGTAAATATATATGGGGAGGCAGGGTGCCAAATTTCAAACGTAACAGATAAAAAATCTCGAAAACTATGAAAGATATTAAAAAAAGCTAAAACAGGTGTTCCATAATTTCGAAGGGAAAACAGAATGGCATTATCAGTTTTTTATTTGGAAGGCATTTTCAAGGTGAGTTGAAGGTTAACTTAATTTTTTTTTATAGAAAACACAATTTTTTATTATATTTTCTTTTTCTACTAATTAATTTTAACAACTTTTGTCTGAAACATTTTTTTATTTGTCTAATATTTTTTGAAATATTTAATATTTAAGGAAAACTTGGTAACTTTTTCAACATTTAACTTACGATATCTCGCTAACTATTCGTCGAAAGAAAAAATAGTATTAGACTTTTTTAGTTTATTTACTATCAAGAATATATTACTATAATAGTGTCTCAACTTTTGTTAATTTAATAATTCTGAAATTTCCAAAGGTCTATAAGCATTTTCTGGCCGTGTATCGGCCAGCGAAATGCCCGGGTGAGTAAGACAAGGACAGTGCGATCGATTGTTCGTTCTTGTCAAACTGACTTGACCCAACCTTCCTGCTCTTGCGCTCGCGCGCACGGTGTTGGTTCGCGATCTCGCCGCACGAGGCCTCCAAAGTCAACGCTGGATTTGTCTCTGGCTCCTGTAGACCCTTAAAGCACATGACAGAGGATCCAGGGAGGATACTTTTTATTCTCCCTACAATTCCTTCATATTTTCTTTCAGACGAGGGATCTTACGCCCGTATTAGACTATAGATTGAAAATTGGACCAGTGGGCAATTGGACAAGTGGACCAACTTAAATAACCAATATTTAGATTACTTGATTTATCCGATTGCAATTTTCAATCCATAGTATCATCATCATATCGTTAAAATACCTTTAAATTAATACGGTACTGAGACTCCCACAGCGTTTGCTCAATGCGCATGCCCGAAAATTCTCTGGATCTCGCAGCACTGTTCAGTAGTGCAGCTAAAAAGAACAGACCAATATACTATAGATTTTCAGTCCTGGCAGTGAATATCGGAACGCAGCCTTTAGCACTATCTCGTCAGTGGTTAAGACGTTCGAGAAGTCTTTAGTTCGCCTCCGTGGCGGTTGGATGTGGTTTTTGTAACTACGCATATTTTTTGATCGTGGGGACTGCGTACGCGTTGTCCTTGTTTTTCTTTTACCTTCATGCTACTGGAAAATGGCGTATGGACAAAGCTGAATGCAGTCCGAAGCCATATATTGAACTGAACTGAACTGAAGACGTTCGAGACATAAACATAACAAATCCGGTTGCTTGTTATTTTACAAGAAACTATGTCAGATAATAAAAGTGACAAGGCTAAAGTCGATCTCGGATTACTTGAGGAGGACGATGAATTTGAAGAGTTCCCTGCGGAAGGTACATATTTAGTTTTATCGTCACAATGTTTGTAACATAACCTCGTAATCGCTGATTCATTCACTTAGATTGGACAGCAAAGGATGAGGATAGCGAGGATATCAGTGTTTGGGAAGATAATTGGGACGATGATGATGTTGAGGACGATTTTAATCAGCAGTTGAGGTATTTTGCGATAAATTCATTTATTGTAAGAGACCTACATAATAATCAATTAATAGAAGTATTTAAAAATAAAATATGTAAAACAAAATTATATTACTGAAGAAATCTAAATAATTGTGACATGTTTTAGATAGAATTTATGGTACACTGTAACTGATTTCAGAGCCCAACTAGAGAAACAGAAAGCTACCAACGAAATTGCCAAGGAGAATTAAATATATTATTTTTTAATTTTATTACCTTATATATAAATAAACATGTAGTTAAATATTAAGCTCATGTGTACACCTATATTTCATACATATACTATTCCCCATGATCTTTGGAATGTAACGAGAGCTGCGGTTTTGTATATCTTGTATAACATGCACCGTATGTTTCACAGGAACATACATTTCCTTTGTACAAAACTTAGTCATTAAATATAAATATGTTTTAGTAAGTCCAGAAATGCATATATAGTGCCTTTCCACAAGTGACTCATTTCACACTATTCAATTGATAGGAGTCATTAGTCTCTAATGACAGAAAAAATGCTTGGCGTATCTTATTGTAAATGTATAATCAGGTACGCAGTCTTGAGTTTAAAAAATCTTTCAGTTTCCAAAATGTAAACATATGTTCTACATATGGCACATCAGTTTCCTTTACATAAATGTTTTGACATAAGTATATCTTAATGACTCCCACAACACCATTGAGAGAATAACATAAGTGTGCAAGGTTTACAAATCACCAGTTTTTTATCTAAGGGACTGAATAAAAAAGTAGAATCAACTAATTGGTGACATCGTGATTTGTTTTGCAAGAGACCAGTAATTCAGATACTAATGCGTCTAACATCTGCATATTCACATCCATATTGATCTTTTTGACTTCATATGTACTGAATAGATAGTTCAGGGCTTTGTGTACATCGTCCTCACCGAATATTAATTTGATGCTGTACGAGAGCTTCCCGTTTAAAATGCGCAGCAACTTGTCCTTCAACTGTGCATCAGGTTGACTGGTGGCATTGTGTGGAGTATTGTAAACTAACGGAGAATTGCTCAAGGAGTCAAATAACCATAGAATAGTTGTCTGTAAATATATCCAAAGCTAATAAAAGAAACTCAGCACGCGCGGAAATAGTATTTCTTTATAAATATCGGTTCTACCTGTAGAATTGGCTCCGACATGTTACCGAATAATAGCTTAGCCCATCTAACGACCGCTTCCTGCTGCAACGTGTTGTTACTAGCGATTCCTGCGAGAAGCTCGCAAATGAGATCTATCGTCGTACATGTCAGCGTTAAATTAGAGTCCAGTTCATCCACTTCATCTGGAGAATGTAATCTTTTGTTATTGTAAAATATAATATAAATTCGATGGGTGCAACAAGAATCAACATTATTACCGTCGTACGAAGTATTAACGGTTTCCCACCATCTATCCAATGATTCTGAGTCGCCACTGGCTTCCATCGAATCAACCGCCTCGTAAGCTGTATCTACCGTGCAGTATTCCGTCCTTTCTGCGATCAGTTGTTGGAGTTCACAAGCCAGACTCTTCTACAAGAGATACCTCGTGATGCGTCAATTTCATTATATTACGCCCGTTTTATTTTTTATGTTTTTTAGATATGTACTGATTAGTTAATTATTTTATTAACACGCTCATGTGCTGAAATTTAAGTTATATTACCGATTTTATGTCTTCAACGAATCTCCAGGGTATATCGGACAAAGGCATTAGAGTAGGTAAAGGAAGTGCTTCTTCTTCTGAATCCAGCTCGAAGCCCGGTACAACCGTTTTCAATGTATTGAAAACACCAGTCACAGTCTTAGCGAGGAATCGGTCGAAACGTGGTGCCACCGCGTCCGCTTTCTTGCCCGCGCTGCTACTCGGACGGAGAAAGTGACGTAGCTGTGGTGGACATTCGTTTGCTAATCGCGTGCATAACGTTTTCAAGTAGGTCTCGAGCTCGACTCGCCCGCCCTCCGGCAACACTAGTTCCGACATGACACTAGACAACGATGGAATCTGGAATTCATGAGCAAGTAATCACAAGCTTAACGGTTGGGGCTGAATTCATTAATGAATTGCCATGATCCTTAAGACTTACTTCCTCTAAACTGAGATGCAGCTGAACAAAGTCGGAGTACTGTCTTCTGACGGTAGCAGTAGTGGTTTCAAATAGGTCTACTCCACGCTGTTCCACATCGTCGAATTGTATGCAGTAAAACAATTGTTGCGAGCCGTCCGCCGCGGTATGGAATTCGGTCCATGGAACCGACAAATTCGTGAACTGGCTTCCTTCATATATCACGTAGGACTTTTCTTCCGCGTGCCTGAAAAATTTAGACGTGCACGTGACGAGATGTTCAACGAGGCTAAAAACAAGTCATTCTAACTAACAGTGGTGTGGTTGCCGTGGATTTCTGTTGCAATAGATTCCGCAGTCTAGCGATGGTCGTAGCGAAATCGGTCGGTTCCTCGTAGACCGGCGATATTTTATCCTCTTCTAGTTCTAAATCCGTCTCCTCTGTTATGCTGCCTCCCCAAAGGCCTCTGTGTTCCGTGGAGAGACCTTCCAGGCACAGAGTAGGTCTTTCTGGAATTGCTGGTGAAGCTGTACTCTCGTCTCCGTTTACAGTAGCTGCAGATGGACTAGATTTGGGCAGAGATGTCGGTAATTGCTGCGGAATTACAGCCGCTGTGGCGGACGCGATGCCATCACTCAGAGCGACGGTTATAATACCCTAAAAGAGAAAATGTGTTTAGCATGTGTTGATTATATGTACCTTGATAATCGTACTGTTAGAATATACATTGACGTTTTGCTTGGCTGGGGTAACAACAGCTTCCTTTGATGGATCTTCTAGTAGTCTTAATAGGTTCTCGATCAACCAATTCGGACAGCTTATTGTTTCTATGGTTATTAAGAGCCTCCTTGCTAAAATAGATAACAGAAGCTTGCATGGTAATGAACTAGTCAACTCCCATTGTAGAAACTCCTGTGCTAGAACAGTGACTAAACGATGTAGCGTATGCTCTAAGGCAGACATGCTGCGAGAACCAGGATGTGAATACTTATATGCCTCTTCTATGCTCATTGCAGCACCCTTTTCGACTCGGCGTAGTGTCCTGTGAAATGCATCACATCAGTACATGAAGGATGCTTAAGTAAAGGATGCTTAAAGTAAAAGGCTCATTATGAAAAACAATTCCCTATGAGAGCAACATCGACATATCCGTACCTACGGTATTCCTTTAAATGCAACAATAATACATCAGCCAGCTTATTGGTAAGTTTTATTTTATCTATTTGACTGACTTTACAAGCAAGTCTGGTTAAGAACTTGCTCAACAAGTACTGCGCTTCGTCAGGAAATGACTTGTCGTTGCTTATATTCTTGTACCAAATTTCTATACATTTTGCATTGATTTCTTGCGTCATATCTGTTACATTCGGCTTTTTCCTTTTTGTTAAAGGGATTTCATTCCTATGAGGATCTTTCAAAGTTGTATTATTATCAGACCTAACACTAGTTTCTTGTGCAGAACTCAAGTTTCCTTGCTGTACACTATCACTTTTGCAGTCGATTTCCTTATTTTTGTCCTTGTCTACAGTACCATCCAACTTTAAATAACTTGCTAATCTCTTGTGAATCCATTTATTCACAAATTCTAAATTAACTGGACTATTGGCTTTCAGTGTGAGACGTAACAAGCAGCAACTCAGCCATATGGATATAATTGTGATGAACACAGCCCAAGAGATGGAAACATATATCGGTATAGATGTGAAATCTATCCATACCTGTATAACTAAAGACAACACAGCAGCCGCTGTACTAAAAACTAGCAATATTTGGTTCAACCAACTCATTGGTATAACTTTGTCCATCTTGTGTATGCTAGTGCTTTTAAGTAGCTACAAATTAAGCGTCACATTTTGTGCTACAGTAATCTGAACCTGTCAAGAAAAGAAGTCTTCTTAATCCATATTTTAGAAGAATCAAAATAAAGCGTACACATACTTTTGCTTGAAAAAGTGGTATCTTTATTTTAAATCAGGATATCAATGTATATATGAAGGTGAAAGAACGATGACACTTGATGTATTTACGAGCAATAGAGTAGTATCATGGAACGACACAGATGATTGATATACACATATTCCATATTTCTATCTCCATTTTGACAGTTATTAAAATCGATACAAGGCATCTTGAGTACCGCGAAGTACTTTAAACACAATTATTCATGGCGCATAGCGGGGTAAACAGATGTATAATACAGACTATGTGAATTTATATCTGTCCAACACGCAACATGTACTGTCCGAACATTCATTGATAATTCTGGCAACGTACCGCGCGTCCATTCTTTCTTTCGCAGCTGTTTACTTTATCGCCGTTTCTAGCGTTTCCTCATACCGGATTAACCTCGCCATTGCGCGTTCGGGTAACGTCACGAAAATCGAGGCACCTATCGTCCGTTACGAGTCCATATCGCGCGGACCTCTTCTCCCTTACGTCGATCCGTTCGCACAGAAAACCTCCATTCGCGTTCTCGCTCTTCTATTATGCGACGCGACCATAGATCACATGTTTACGAGACAACCGGCTGTAATTCATTTCGACATAACACTTCTGATATCGCATGTCGCAATTCTTAAAGCCCGTATCAGACTACGGATTGGGATTGAGTATTAGAGTGAAATTTAACCAATCAGGGCTAAGTTTACTATATTTGAGATTATTGTCTTTTTTCCAATTGGTCAAATTTCAATCCAATCTCAATCCCAATCCATAGTATGATACGGGCTTTACGATCTATCGCGCTAAATACCAATAACGTGCGCCCATATGGATTTGCATAAGTGCATCATACATATGGATGCACCCTAACTTTTGCAGCACCGCACGTCGCATTTCACAGCGCAAGCGCTTCATGCCACACTCAACTGACTCGACCTTCGCATGGCTGAAAGAAATGGTCATATGGCGACTCTTATCTCGCGAAAATATGTATGCTATAAGGTAAACATATTACTGGATATATCCGACCTTAGCTTATTCTGCATCTATTTCTAAAGCCGATATCCAATATTGAAAAGTAATAGGTTTAACATAACGATAGTCGAGTTTTGGTCAACTCGGTTTTTCGAATCGAGTGAAATTAACTTAGGTTAATCTGTAAATACGTGCGCGGTAATGATGCGCGAGCAACTTTTTATTCCTCCATTAATTTTTATACCCGATAACCGATATTCTCAAGTACTTTACAGTCATCATAACGTATTTCTCTGCGTTCAGATATAGCATATGCCGATTTTTCGCAAAATATTCTTTCGAGGCGCGCTGCTGGTAAAGCGATGAACCAAAGATGGCCGAAGTGGCGGTTATAATTCTTTCATTGTCGAATCGTATTGAACAATACATGATAAATTCATGCTATTTCCTCTTCCGTCTAGGTGATACAAGATCAAATGATCGATGATCGATGATCGAAACACATTCTGCTTGCTCATCTGACTGACTGTCTAACTGCTTGCCCACCTGCCTACCTAGTTGCATTGTACATGTCATGATCCTAATTTTAGCGCTCAAGACATGAGCGATTCATCGAGGGAATTGAAGGTAATGACTCGAGATAGCCTGCGCCTGGGGTATCCAACTACTCTAGGAGCGGCTCTATTTTTGCTATCTCTTAATCTGTATTGCGTATTTTTACCTCCCCCTCCTATTGAGTTTCACGCACCCCTGTGCAGGGGTGGCGGCACGCACGTGGCCGACACATGGCCGCACGCCAAATATAACGAACGCATGGAAGCTATCGCCCGAAATACACAGCTGTTGGCCGTATACGGTTTAATGCGACGTCAGAACAATGCGTGCGTATTGTGTATATTTGTCCCTCCTTCGAAGGAATCTTCGAAGAGGTTTCCTCCGGAATGAATTATTGCGGTTGTAGATTTGTTTTTTTTTTCACAGTATTTGAATTTTTTATATTTAAGATAGAATTGTGTTGCATAGAGATAGCTCAAAAAATTGATTGAAATAATGTAGCACTGCTGCGCACATGCATTTGCTCATTACATGCATGAGATTGAATTTCCAAGCTGTAGCAATAGTCGCGCGACACGGGTGGCAATTTCTTCTGTTAAAGTCACAGGTGGCTCATATCCTTAAGTGGCGAGCCGCCACCGTAAGACGTCAGTAAAGGAACACACAGTCGAGGACATAATAGTTATTATATAATATACAGTTTTATTACCATATTATCATTAATCATAAGGTATAATAAGAAGAACGATTCGTCGGACAGCAATATGAGCCGACATCGAAGTGGTCGGTATGGATGATCATATTCCTCGTTGTCGTTGCTGTTGTTCGATTACCATCTTGTAGGCATCACGAATGCCAAATTTATGCGATCATCAGCGAGCACGTATCGTGTCTGTATGTGTGTACGTATAATATTGATTAATATGGGTTTACGTGTAGGTCTGTATGCACGTGTAAACACGTACAGTTGCACATCATTGGGCCGGGAAGGATTTTTTGTTCAGATGGCCAAAGAGACTATCAATAAATTAATTGAATGTTCATAAACAAAACGTATTGTATAAACTACAAAGTACAATACAGTCTGGTAAATGTGTAGCATAAAAGCACTTAGGTAATCTTACGTTTTTTTTTTTTACTTTTGCGATCCTCTCTCATACCTCCTACTTCTCTTTCTGTCTTTTTTTACTTTTTCTCTTTTTCTTTTTCTTCCTCTCTCCCTCTGCTTTAATTCTCCCATCTCTTCTTTCTTTTTTTTTACTATCTCTCTCTTCCTTCCCTCTTTTCGCGTCTATGTATCTCGTGAGGAATAAGATATAACTTAAAGTACGGCCGTATACGTGGAAAAGGAGACAATCGACGAAGAGAAAGAAAAGAGTTGCGCTGGTGATGCTGTTTAATTTCTGGCAATGCGTGTTTAGAAGCACTTGCGATGCACGATACCGGGGCCGGACTCGTCGTATTCTTGTTTGGAGATCCACATCTGTTGGAAGGTGGACAGAGAAGCCAGGATGGAACCGCCGATCCATACGGAGTATTTCCTCTCGGGAGGAGCGATGATCTTGATCTTGATGGTCGAGGGTGCGAGGGCAGTGATTTCCTTCTGCATACGATCGGCGATACCGGGGTACATGGTGGTACCACCGGACAGGACGGTGTTAGCGTAGAGGTCCTTACGGATGTCGACGTCGCACTTCATGATCGAGTTGTAGACGGTCTCGTGAATACCGCAAGATTCCATACCCAAGAATGAAGGCTGAAAGAGAGCCTCGGGGCAACGGAACCTCTCGTTACCGATGGTGATGACCTGACCATCAGGCAACTCATAGCTCTTCTCGAGGGAGGTGCTAGCAGCGGCAGTGGCCATTTCCTGTTCAAAGTCCAGGGCGACGTAGCAGAGTTTCTCCTTGATATCACGGACGATTTCTCGCTCAGCTGTGGTGGTGAAGCTATAGCCTCTCTCGGTGAGGATCTTCATGAGGTAGTCGGTAAGATCGCGACCGGCCAAGTCGAGACGGAGGATGGCATGGGGGAGAGCGTAACCTTCGTAGATGGGTACGGTATGAGACACACCATCTCCGGAGTCCAAGACGATACCGGTGGTACGACCGGAAGCGTATAGGGAGAGGACGGCCTGAATGGCGACATACATAGCCGGGCTGTTGAAGGTTTCGAACATGATTTGCGTCATCTTTTCACGATTAGCCTTGGGGTTCAAGGGTGCTTCGGTAAGAAGGACCGGGTGTTCTTCGGGAGCGACACGCAATTCATTGTAGAAAGTGTGATGCCAGATCTTTTCCATGTCGTCCCAGTTGGTGATAATACCGTGTTCTATAGGATATTTTAGTGTCAGGATACCTCTCTTGCTCTGGGCCTCGTCGCCCACGTAGCTGTCTTTTTGACCCATACCGACCATCACACCCTGTAGAGGAGCGAGGTATTATCCGACGTTATATAAGCACGTTATTATGTTTAAGCCGGGAAATTTGCAATACGAACCTGATGACGTGGGCGGCCGACGATGCTAGGGAACACGGCACGCGGTGCATCGTCTCCCGCAAACCCGGCCTTGCACATACCGGACCCGTTGTCCACGACTAGTGCCGCAACATCATCGTCACACATCTTGATCGGCTGATAGTGTTACTTTCTGCGAATACACCGAGAAATGTAGAGAAATACCTCACCGCGTACATACCGATATGAAATATTTATTAATAAGTAAATCGATCGTAATGAATTAGTCGTAATTTAATCCCACTAGAAGCTAATTATGTATCATGTTAATTTTAAAAATACGAGAGAAGTACTTAGCGCACTGTTGCACATTCACCAAGTATATCACTTCACGTATTATCCGATTACGCAAACCTCTTCGAAGGCTCGCTTCGCACAATTCTCTTCAAGGGTGCTCAGAGAGTACCATCCGATCGGCCCCGGCTAAGCTTTACACCACCTTCTCGTAATACCTCGTAATACCTCACTTAGCACTGTTTGCTTTCAGCCACTGCCGGAGATCTTGTGGGATCTTCGTGACGAAGGTTCATCGAAGATCGCGAAGCGTAGAAAGCCGATCAGACGGTATCCCTGAAGGCAACGGTGCGCGCGAACCCCAAAGGGGTTGCTGTGATTCGTACTGATTGTTAATGAGGCACGAAGGATGCAGCAACAACTGCAACTACGGCGATTTAACGTACGCTGATGCGATTGCCGAGAGTGAGATCGGCGGATGGTCGCTGAGGGTCGCGTAACGTCGTGCGATAGACCGGCGAGAGCGGCGAGTGGCGCAGTGCCGGCTCCGCGGGGTCCCTTTATCCATATCGGTCCGCCGCCAAAAATAGCGGTCCGCCCCTTACATGGAAATCTGCCGCCCGCGTTAACGGATGTCGGGCCGCGAGCCCGCATCCCCAGAGAATCAGCCTAGTCCTAACCTCGCCCTAAAGAGACATGGTAGAGGGAGAGAAGACACCGGTAGCAACGACGACAATGACGACGACGACGACGACGACGTCGACGACAACGTGGTGGCCGACGGTCCCCAGGTCCAAATAAGGATTCGTTGCGTATCAGGGCCGTCAATTGTGTTTTGGCTCCCATAGACCCTCGATGAAAGGATAGGGCTATGGGAATTTTAGAGAATGAATCTCGGGAGGGTGAAGAGTGAACGAACAAAGACGGAATCTCGAAGAACATAGCATAAGAGAGCCCGGAAGATGGATCTAAGTGAGGCTCGATCGCTGAAAAATCCTCGAGAAACTTAAACTTGAGGAACGAGTGATCTCCGAAGGACCAACCCTTCAAGGATCGATAATTGAAGAATGAAACTTCGGAATATTTAATTAAAAAATATTGATTAGAAGATATTAAGTTTCGAGAGAACGAACTTTGAAAAATTGTCGTTGGGAAGATTCAGCCTCAAAATTCGAACTTCGAAATATAAAGAAGAATATCCAGGGTCCAAGCTATGTTGAGTTGCGAGTCCCAAACATCCTCTCACCCCATTTTCTCCAAATAAGATTGCGTTCACATGATAAATCGTCCTCACGACGTGAGATAAATCGTCCTCTGAAATAAAAGAACGAATTCACTTGATTTGTTCGTCTTCTGTAAAGTGGATGCTTTCCTCTGTCATTAGTTACAGTGCCTCGCATAGCGCGCACCAAGGTATTCATCAGATGGTCCAGAATGCTGCCAAGAATAATAGTTCTCTTGACGCGAATTATCGTGAATGCTGACAGAAAATTGTATTTATGAGACATTAGGATTAATATGCGCGGACTTCAATCTTGATAAATGCTCATAAGTGCAATATTTTTTTTAAACAATTGATGAAATTGATCTCTTAATATGTTAATAATTCTTTTGAGCGGTTGGAATTTACTTTGAAGTTCAATGAGAGAAAGAGAGAAAGAGGGATATTTATTGGTGCAGCTAGTGAGCAAAACGGCCTTATTCGCTAATTGTAGCTAGCAGTTCGCTATAATTGGCAGGTGCTCGGGGCGACTGGCTAGCTCGCGCCATCGTAAAGATCCCCACTACCTTTTTACCTCACTAGCAAGCCGGTGCTCGTGCCGATTCGCATTGCCGAGTTTCAACCCCGAAAGGGCGCATCCTTTGTCGTTGAAGTATCATCGGTTGCTCGATGTCATCACATTCTGTCGCAAGAGCAGCTTCGATATGAGTGTGGAAAAGCGTCCAGACGTGTGTGTACCAGCCAAAATTCTGAAGGTAAACGTCCATATTTTTCATTCCAGATAGTTGAGAGAAAATCCCGGAAATACATCAGAGAAACTGTCATCGCCCAATAAACATCGAATAACAACTACATTACTTCAGTATTACAATTTCCCACTTTTACCGATGTAATTGCAATATAATACATGTTGTACGTAACAGTTACATTGTTGCGTTTAGGAAATTATAACATTGATGTAACGTTACTGTCTCTGTAACGCGGTGTTTACTGGACGTTGATTAGGAAAATGTAAAATGCCCTCACGGTCGACTGTAAAACTAATCTTATATCCACATTTTTTATCTTTGTAGATTTCAATTTTTCAAATTTATTACCGGTTTAATTAAAGACTCATTCAGTAACTATTATATTAGATATAGAAATAAAATCTATCTATATTTCGTTAAACTACGAATATATTCATTTGGTTGCACCTGAAATATGAAATATTGTAATTCGTTTAATGTAATTGTATATGTACCACCTTTCCCCCGAGTAACTTTATATACCACGTACTTCGCGAATGGCAATCTTAGTATCTCAATATAACAAAGATTTACTGTAAATATTGTCATTTCTGCTAAAAAAGAAAAAAAGAATTTATCATTAAAAACAGAATGTGCGTACTTAACCTTGGGAATTATCGTTATAAACAGAATATGTGTAATCAGCCTGGCCATTTGTGACATCATCGCTCATGTTTTATGCAATACCGATTATACTTTAGAATGTTATCGTACTTGTAAATGGAATGTTATCGTACTTGTAAATTTATAAATGCGAATAATGCACGTTCATTTAAATATATATCATATAAATTAAATTTAATTAACATTTGCATTTTATTAAATTAACAGCTCAAGTGGAATGTCTCGAGGGACAGGGCAGATATGGACATCATCTCGCTGCTGAAGTGTCAACAAACCATTTCCAGAGGAAGAATTTAAATGAATATATGGACAAAATAAGGCTAAACCCATCGCTTCATACCGAGACCGGCTGTATCATCGAAAAGCAGTGATTTATGGTAATTTTAATTGAGAGATACAATATATATATATAATTCACTTATCCTACGCATGATTTTTGAGTGATTGCGAATGAATTATGTATATATTCGAATCTCTTACAAAATGTTTTTTATGCACAGGCTTCATACACCTAAATTTATTTAGCAACGCGAAACGAACTTTTGATTCTGAACCCTAATGAGTAGATTTTTGTGTGGAATTATCTTTATTAGTTAATTAATTCCTGACGGTTTCGTCCATGTCTCTCTCCTCTCGTATTTAACATTTTATGGTAACCCGCAATATAATTTACATGACATCTATGTAAAATAAGTGTGCATTTTCATGATTGTTATAACTTGTGTATCAACAGAAAAATTCGATATTATGTCATTTAGAGTTTTAGAGTAAATTTCGTACACACGATTAATAACCAAATATTATTTATTTTAATATAAAATTATAATTTGTTGCCGTTAAACCGATTGAAATATTAATTATTAATTGAGATGCGAAATATAACTCATAAAGTATTGATGATGCAAGCTATTGATCCGATAAAATATTACGACTTGGTATTCGTGCGAATATAAGGGTATCAAAGAATAAGATATTACGAATTGAACGGCTGTAAGAATATAAGATTGATTTATTCCATAGACGTAAACTTATATACAAAAGATGACGTATATACTCGTATGATCGTAAAAGACTCGCCGCCACGGACCAATAGTAACGATAGTAGTAATCGACTAACGGAGAACCAACTAGACGAAGCGATGCGGCAGTGAACGGTACATCTTAGGGAAAGGTGTAGCAATAATAATAATAGTGAATAGCATCGAGCGTAACTGCTTAGAAGCACTTGCGGTGGACGATGCCGGGGCCGGACTCGTCGTACTCCTGCTTGGAGATCCACATCTGTTGGAAGGTGGACAGGGAAGCCAAGATGGAACCACCGATCCATACGGAGTACTTCCTCTCGGGAGGAGCGATGATCTTGATCTTGATAGTCGAGGGTGCGAGGGCAGTGATTTCCTTCTGCATACGATCGGCGATACCAGGGTACATGGTGGTACCACCAGAGAGGACATTGTTGGCATAGAGGTCCTTACGGATGTCGACGTCGCACTTCATGATCGAGTTGTAGACGGTCTCGTGGATACCGCAAGATTCCATACCCAAGAAGGAAGGTTGGAAGAGAGCCTCAGGTGTACGGAACCTCTCGTTACCGATGGTGATGACCTGACCATCAGGCAACTCGTAGCTCTTCTCGAGGGAAGTGCTGGCGGCGGCAGTGGCCATTTCCTGTTCGAAGTCCAGGGCGACATAGCAGAGTTTCTCCTTGATATCGCGGACGATTTCTCGCTCAGCCGTGGTGGTGAAGCTGTAGCCTCTCTCGGTGAGGATCTTCATGAGGTAGTCGGTAAGATCGCGACCGGCCAAGTCGAGACGGAGGATGGCATGGGGGAGAGCGTAACCTTCGTA